GCCCAGGAAGGCGCGGCATGAAGCACTGTTCAATCAGACGACAGCTAAAATGACGTCTAAACAACATTTATCTAATCCGTGCGCCAGGCAGAAGCCTTTTTGCCAAATATAACACCTTACAAACTCATCGCAAAGAAAGTCCTCCTTCGAGTATGAATGGTTTACAGTTTTTCATTAAGTAGTATTTCTACAAAACACAGGGGGTAAACTGAGTATGCTAATGGCCACAGACAAATAGCTAGTAGCTACACACCTGTTGTCGCAAAAGCACCTGACAGACAGCAGCACAGCCACCACAGCAGCGCCAGTGATGTTCCGGTGATCCACAGGTTCCCCATTCTGCCGCCAGACGGCTGACTCGTGCTGTGCCAGCTCTTTGTAGTGAACGTCTCTAGCTTTAAAAGTTCCGTCGCGCGATTTTGCCGTACGGCAGGATTCTGTCATCAACTAAGTACTAAAAAATGGCGCGCGTGGCATTTCATTTCGCGGCACGAACTTTCGTGTCACGAAGCAAGGTAACCATGGGAACGGCTACCAAATAAGGTAACACTTGGGTAGAAGTTATGCAATTAAAAGAAGTTATCGAATATTTATTTAATTAGTTGCCTCCCTCCGATATTTTCTGACATGTCCTTTCTGAATTATTCAATGACTGGGGCTATGCGACTGCCCGTTCCGGTACCGGAATTTCTAATTATAGTAAAAACACATATTTTTGTGCCTATTAAAAGTATTTTAGATTGGTCATTTTTACTGTATTCTAAATTTGGACCTTTTTGCTGTTATTCTAGATCATGAAAGATTTCATAAGAAATATCATATCTGTAAGTTTCTATCATTACTGATCCAAAGGAGCTACACTTAACACCTGCTTAAGACTCAAAAATTATTTTCCTTACGCAATCTGACACATATTACCTTACTCCGCCAGATGTTTCCACACTTTATTTACTCAATACAGGGAGTGCATATCTTACATTACATTCCTCGGCAGATAATGCGTTGTAATGTTTCTTTTTACGGATTAAGGTATCAAGCCGATTAATGCGTTATGTTAGGGCAAAACCAGTACCTAGTCACAAGAGGAAGATACTGTTTTACTCCTGGATTTCAGACAATAATTTCAAGTTGTGCACTGATCTGTGAAGTGGTTTCTATGGCATCGCTATTGTTTTCTTGATTAAAAGGCTTACAATCTTGTCTAATATGTCAATTTGTACACGAACGAACGAATGGTTGGAGTAGGAGTTCAGATACAGTATTCTAAAAGTTTCCTTCACATGTCGCGTATCAGGTTAACCCCGAGTTCCACGCTACCTCACAATCACCTTACTTGGTGCAGTACAGCCCTTGGTACAGTCCCAGTAAAGCGTGTTAAAATCTCCTGACTTGTACCACAACAGGTCTGTCGATAGCAGTGAACTTTGGAGCAAATCGTTTAATTTCATTGTTTTAAGACTACCTAATTTTCGATGAAAGAGTAAACTTCGAAATTCGAAAGTAAATGACAAGTTAATGATGACGTCACATAACGTTATAACGTCGTTGAATTGATGTCAGTGATTAGCCTGGTACAGGACGGACGAGGGAAAGCGACCGTTTGGAGGCTGACAGGCTGGGATGCCATTATGAATATTGGGCTTGCTAAATGTATGATAATGTATTCATCGGCTGTTGGACCTTACCTCTATTGTTCAGACTTTGTATAGCTGACGTATTACTGCTGCAATAAGGCAAATGTTTGTGCCCTGATTGACTCATTTTTCTATAGCTTATATGGGTCACAAAACATAGATACAGCGTTTCTCAAAGACTTGCATCTAGTTCGGTAGTTCCCCATAGTTGTATTGAGTAATATCTGCCACTCCGTTTTCATGTTAAACGAAAATATTGATAAATTCTGCTGCATTTAAGCTTGATTTGGATTTGAGTCATAACCTTGAGATAAGACCATCACGTGGGTACAAAGCTGATACTGACAGACCTTTGGTTAGGTGACATCATCGTCATGCGGAAATCTTTGAACCCAGACTGAAGGTTTCAGCAGTCCAATTTGCCCAGTAGAACCGTGATCATAAACAGGTTATAACTTGTCTAACCTTCACCGAAGTCAGTTCCAGCTTGCTTCAGTCGCAGGTGAGATTGACGACCTTAAGTTGGTATTTTGCAAGAGATGACTGGTATCCCACGGTTAGAATGGGGATCTCCTTGAGGAGGGGGTAGTGTAATTTTAACTGTTGGCTCTTCATGATAGGGCAAGACCTGTTGTTTTCGCTCTAAATTGTGGTAGGTTGTGTTAGACGGTCTAGTCTAAACTGGGTCGTGCGTCTGCCTCGACGATTTAAAATCATTGTGCAGTGTGGAGCCCTTACCTTGAGTGCTCATTTCTCTAAACATAGACAATAAGCTGTGCATGTATGGGAAATTAGGAACAACAATTTACTAGGTTTGTACAGTACTATAAATCTGTGGGGTATACGGATGAACAATGTTGTCCAATACAATATTCGCCTTCTTTACATGAGTCATATTCTATAGTCAGTTCTGGATCTTTTCAATAATTTTATGGGTACATTTTCAGGTCTCTGTACGACACGCATAACAGTTAAGCATGGCTGAACCCGCGAAGGATCTTTCCGGGTAAGTAAATATCTCATTATTGAGCTACTATGATCGCAGAAAATTTTTTAGAAATATCATGATCAGGTTAATTTTAAAGATAACCTATAAAAGCACAGAATTATATTCATTGGTCATTTCAGCCACGTGGCCCACGGCCGTGGTCACTTACCAGTAGACGTTTCATGATCAGTAACGCTATCATTATAGATACTACTCGACATACTGAACGGATTCTATTAAATAGCCTTGATCTAGCTTTTGCTTGTGAACATCCTTGTCTTATTCGTCAATCAACAGCTTCGAGATCACTGGAGAAATGGACGAAGAGGAACAAGGCATGCTAAGAAGCCTGGCCGCTGCCAGTGGTGCGGATAAAGCTGATGTATTGAAAGAGATTCAAAACTATGCTGCAGAAAACTTGGAGGCATGGAAGAATCAGAAGGTTTGCGTGGGCGTCGTGGGTGACCCCGGAGCGGGAAAGAGCACCTTCATCAACTCCATCCGCGGGCTGAGGCCGAAGGACCCTGGTGCAGCTAAGGTCGACGTAAAGGAAGGTACTAAAGTCGTCACCGAATACCCCCATCCAGATCGCCCGGATAACCTCATCTTCGTCGACTTTCCCGGCGTTCTCCTGAAGAAAGGAAGTGGTGACCAGCGCGACTTCGACATCCAACAGTACCTCAACGAGCATGGGGAGAAGATGGAGCAATGCCACGTGTTCCTGGTGTTCAGCAGCGGCCGCATCCAGCACAACGCCGTGCAGATCGGGATGAAGGCCCGGGAGATGAGGAAGAAGGTTCTCTTCGTCAGGTCACAGTTCGACCTAGATGTGATGAAGAGGAGAAACGACGACCCAGAGTACTTCAGAGGCAATACCGAGGCCGACCTGATGAAGGAACTCCGCCAAGACTACATCAAGGTCCTGAAGGACGTTGGATGGGGGAAAGAGGTCAACCCTCGAGATGTATTCATCATCAGTGGCCTGCTGGACAGCGTGCTGAATGGGTCCTGGGACATCCCCAAGTTCCGGAAGGCCATGATCGGAGATCTGAGCACTCTTCAAAAGCTGATCGTCATCAACACCTGCCGGGACTTCTCCAAAGAGACCATCAAGGAGAGGGGAGACATCTTCAGAAAGCGCGCGTGGTTCGTTGCGATGGCAACAACAGCGGGCTCCTTTGTTCCATTTGCTGGTGTTGCTTCTATGCCGGGTAAATAATACAACGATAAAATTTGTTTCCTTCTGCTACCTTCTGCTGTTAAGAAAACGTCAAACCTTCCACAGAAGCATACCAATCTATTTACTCCATTTGTGGAACTTGTTTTGCAATGTAGTCTAGATCACGGTATCATGTATGAAAAATCAACAGACATTTTGTCAAATTGCATTGCAGGTTGATTAAGAAACGAACGATGTGAACTAATTGTATAAAGTTACTTGACACAGGCGCACCCCATGGCTCCGTTTGTCAACACGCGTGTTCAAATTCCAGTAGAGCAAGAAAAAACAAAAGGGGGGGGGTGATAATGACAGTACTTAACTTTGCGGTAGTGTCTTTTCGTGATTTATTCTGTAAAAAAGGACTGGCCCCTACAGATGCTCATATTGCACATTTTCCATTCTCATTTCTCCACACTACTATTTACCTGTTTCTTTCTTGATCACAGCTACCTTCGCTACCGCGTACTTTCTGTACAAAAGAGGGTTCTGCCTCACAGACGCTCGCGTGGAACAGCTCGCCAAGATGGCCGGCAAGAGCCCGGAGGATCTCAAGGCGTTCTTGTCTACTAAGCTGCTGGGCAAACCGAAGTTAGAAAAGGGTGAGGATGAGGTTAAGCTTGTTGTCGAGCTTATTTTTGGTGGATTAGGCATGGTAACTGCCATTGTTGTTGACCAGGTAGTAGATGTGGCCGTTCCTGTGATTGGCGCTGCTATCACAGCCCCATTGTCCTATGGCATAACAGTCAAAGTCCTGCACACATTGATTTCGCTCATGGAGAAGAGCGCCGGCGAGCTGTTTGATTATGCCCTCAAGGAAAGTGAAGTGTGAAAGTTCCTTGAAGTGTTCTGTGAAACCCGCATATTAGGGCTGCTTGCAGAATGGCTTTGAAGCGTTAATTACACGAGGCGCGGACAGGCAAATATTGTCGGCAGGTGGTTGTTTCTTGTTTTAGAAATAGGGTTACAATTTGTTCAAGATAACTTATCGAACGCCATATGTATAAGCTACTCAAGAGCATGATGATGATTTTAATACCGTGATGATGAAGCCATTAACTTGGTAATGATCTTTAGAGTCAAAGATACTTTGATACATGAAAATGTTACATTTCACCCCATGATGAGTGAGTTTCCACTCTTTTCATCAAAGTCCATACATTACTTCATGTTTCTCTAGAGAGTGAATTTTTTTTTCTAATTGCTTTAAAGTAATTCAATTCTAAGATTGCTTTATTCTGGATAAGCTGTATTCCTGTAATGTCTTATTTTAGGGCAAAACCAGAACCTAGTCTCAATACGATGACATTCTTTTTCTTAGGATCTAGACGGTAATTTCAAGTTGTGTGGCATTGATCTGTCAAGTGGTTTCTGTGGACTTACTTTTGTGCTGAATAGAAGGCTTGCAATCTTGTCTTGTGTATTGTATCGATTTGAGCACACATGAAAGAATGAATGGTTTGAATGATGGACTTTTGATATTTAAAGAGTTTTATTCACATGTCATGTGGAAGGTTGGCCTCGACTTCCATCCGCTCACAATTACCTTACTTGATGCAGTCACAGTAAAGCGTGTTAAAACTGCCTCACTTGCACCACGACATTCCTGTCCATTATAGTGAACTTTGGAAATAATCGTTTAACTTCATCGTGTTAAAGCTCAACATTCATCAATTAAGACTGAATAGTAAATTGAAAACCTTTTGGACATAACGTTCATCCTCCGTAAATCTATCTGTTTATGTTGTCAACTGGTGACACGACAGCACTGAAGGCATGTTTGGCATTTGTGTGTTTATTGGTCGCGACGACAAACAAGAAAATAGCTGGACAAACAGTAACTTTTGACCGAAGCCCACAATGAGCCAACAAAGAGCCGACCACGGCATGGTCAAAGTCCTCCGGCTGATGGGCTAGTGCTGAAGATTGGACACTCTGGCAAAACGTTTTAGAATGTATGTCTGGAATTTTATATTGAATGATTGTACCTTCCTGTTTTAATCTATGTGATAAGAATTTTGTATTATGTTGCCAATGAGTCTAAGATGAATGAATTGTTAAAGAACCACAATTCAGCCTATGTAAGGCTGCAAGTGTTTTTATTCTCAATAAACCATTTCATCATCACCATCATCATATATTTTTCATTGGCTCAGCCAGAACATGTCGTTACATGAACAGCCATCTAGCGATAGCTACATGTATTATAAAGGGTTCACTCTGCTAGAGAATACAGTCAATAGGTTATACACACAATCAATACGATACTTGGTTACAGAGCTACATTCGGTATTTACATACCCTGCTGGTATGTGAAGGCCGCTTCTACTCCAATCTTCACCAAGTAGATGTTGGGAGGGTCATTTTCTAATTCTAAACGGCTTTGGAGCTTAAATGTGTCAGCCGAAAAACAGGGTTTTCTCTGAAAACGATTGTCATAAAATGTTCAAAAGGAAATGAAGATTATATATACTAGTATTGAAAACTGTTTTCTTCAGAGAGGCATTCATGACAACATGACTTTGCGGTCGTTGTTCTCACCAACGACGGGGTAACGACGATTCGATGTCGAGATTCTGCCGTCCACAGCCCATCGCACGATCTGCTTGCCTGACGACGAAGGAATTTCTGAGTGTTCGACAATCGCTTTCGTCATGCTGACATCCCACAACGGTTAACTATAGGGCAGCACGTAGGCGCCAGGCCTAATCAATGAGTTTATCGCACCGAACTCTGTAACGTTAAACAGTACATAATTAGTTTGTTCCCTATAAGTATAAGTACCAATCACAGGCTTGCTCAGACCTGTCTCAAACTTCAGACCTCTGCCGTGCGTGTGACGTTTGTTATCAGTGTGATCAGGCCGTCCTGTGTACAGGCATGTGGAACAGATAGCCTTGTTCCTCGTGTTTGTCGTGTTTTGTTTGTCTGTGGGCGCGCAGTCCTGGCCCGTTTAGCCGCCTAAATGTACGGATTGGCAGGTGACAGGTGTGTACAACAGAGGGAGGTGTGCCCGGGCAACTAAAAGAAAGTATTAAAACGACAAGTGTACACACATCCGACAGGTTTAATGTGAGACCTTACAATGCACGTCTGTCAGATATGTTAACACTGCAGACAGCAAACGGGTAAGTGGGCGACTTAAAAGCGATTTACCCGGGCGAAGGGTAAAGGCAGGTATGTCAGTTCCCGTAACAAAAAGTGACATAGATTCACCTAAAAGAGTATATTTTCTTTAGTAGGCCACTTTTCTGTCAAACTATTTTAACATTTTGTTACATACTTTTTCATTGTGTTTTGATCAAATCAGTTGTTTTCACTATTTGCATGGTACTGTAAACAGTTACATTAGATTGTATCAACAGCCAAACAACCGAAACAGGTGCCTGTCACTCTAGGCACCTTCTCCAAGACAGGAAAAGGGGAAGTGAAAAAGTCGCAGAAAGCTGTAGCATAGTGGCAGATGGTGGTTAAAGTATAACCCTGCCACAGCAACTGTCACTCCCTTACTAGTATGCCTGTAGGCTCACGTTGGCAACCGTCGTATGCTACGAGTAGCGTTACTTGTGGTGTCACGACATGCTCGAGGGGCCAAGTCCACTTCTTCACTTCCCGAGGAGGGGTCAGGTTTCTCCGCATTACTTAATTAAACCCCTACAGAGTACTTCCCTCCCAAAATCTTACGCACTTATTTAGTTGTCTATATGTTAACTGTGAAATACTTGTTTAGTTGTCTATTTGTTAACTGTGCAATATTTGTTTCTCTGTTTTTAAACACTAGCATACAATTCAGCGCTACTTTTTAGTTGCGCTGCCACATGCTAGAGATTGTACTCATCGATCAATCAATAAACAATTATTAAAATCTGCAAAATAGTCAGTTCTGGCAGTCATCAATGAAATAAAAATTGTTTCAACTACGAATCATTGTTCTTCAGACAAAGAAAATTCCTGCCTGACCCTTGTCAGTGATATCACTAGAGTCTTCAATGTCGGATCATCGCACCACGTCAGGTGGTATTCTTGAAATAAGAGCTTAAACAAAAACATAAAAATGAAAAATAAATAAAAAATTTAAAGTTAGGTAGAAAATAACTGAATTAAAATTAAAAATATAAGTTGAAAAATGTGAAATTTAAAGATTTAAAATTTGAAAAAAATTAAAATGTAAGAATTTTGAAATTTTAAAATTGAATTTTTCTAAATGTTTCAAAAGAATAAGAGAAAAATTAGGTGTGGTTACCGGGCATAGCGGCGGCCGGTCAGGATCGATTTTCGGATCCTGTGAATGAAAGAGTTTCCGGCCAAATATTAACCAAACTGCCGCGATTGACGTCATTTCTCCCGGCAGGCGTCGCGGGTCGCTTGCTTACTGACGCACCGGGGGTCGACCGTGGCGTTTTCTTACAAGTCTGTAGGTGACTCACGGCACACTGCATAGAAATTAAGAGTCACATTAAATCAATCAACGCTTAACATGGTTTTGCAGAAGAAAATTAACACGCACAAATATTGTTACAAGAGTCCCAGAAATTACTGTATGATATTGTATTATCTTATAGTCCTGAACTCCACATGAGATATGCCTTCAGCTTTATACTTCCAGCGAATAGGGAAAACAATTCCATCGTCAACATGCGACGAAACACAAACCTTGTTGACATGAACTGAAGGTCGGTAGTCAATTAACTACAAGCTGACCTGTGCGGTACGCAGGCCCCGTGCGGAATGTGTAGTGATTGGTCCCGGCCTTCCGCAAACAGCGGAGTGCGTATTGTTTGTGGTGACACGTTACGGTTCACAACGTCCAGCATTCCACCGGCTCCACATACATCCGCGTGTCATGCCGACGCACCAGCAACACCTGTCAACCCCCTGACTCCCTCCCCACCCCACCTCCTCCTCCTCCCCCCCCCCTCCTCACACCCCCTCCCCCGGGATGACGGTGTCGGACCCATCCCGCCAGCCCGCCGAAGCGGCGCCCGGGTTCGCCGGGCTGCCGGAGGAGCTGTGGGGCCGCGTCTTCGCCTACCTGGACCCGGTGGAGGACCGAGTCGTGACGCTGGCGCTGGTCTGCAAGAAGTGGAGCCGCGTCCTGCGGAACACGCCGGACCTGTGGCGCACGTTGAGCGTCTGCCGGCACCTGGAGGACCACCTGTACGACAGCGTCGCCGCGGCGCTGCGCGCGTACGGGCAGCACGTCCATGTGCTCACCTGGAAGTCAGGTGTGCCCGTCACACCTGCCGTGCTGGCGCTCCTGCCCACCTTAACAAACCTGCGGGTGCTGGGCCTGCCTGTGGTATGGGACAGAGAACACATTTACCGTTTGATGCCGCTCTCAGGGCTAGAGGAGGTTCAGATCAACGGCGCGTTTGAACTGACGGACGGAGACCTGGAGCTGGTCGCGCGGTCCTTCCCCGAGCTGAGGGAGGTGACGTTCACGGCGTGCTGGGACCTTTCCCCCGAGGGAGTGCTCTCCTTCCTGGAGCAGTCCGCCGCCCTGCACAGCCTGAGACTGAAGCTGAACGTGGGGCTGCCCCTGCACGACGTGCGCAGCGACCAGGCCATGCTACAGGGCGCTAACCTGGTCCTTGACCTGGCGGACTCCCGGTTCGCCCACCTCCTGACCGTGCTCCACTTGAACTTCGTCCCTCTGGAGCTGGACGAGCTCTGGAGCTGCATGAACCATTTCACACGCATCCGCAAGCTGGTCATCACCAACTGTGAGGTAAGTACATCTGTTCTACTTCAATGCCACTAGGTGTGAACTAAAATAATCTCATCTGTATGAAATAGCTATAGGAACTTACTTTAAGTAAGGAAAAAAACTTGCATCAAACACTAGAAGGTGTCACCACAATATGCACGACAGTCAGAGTTAAGGCGCACTACAAAAACAACAGATCTAGAGCCACGTAGGTCCACCTCTAGTATCACGAATGATAGGGACCCATGTATAATATTTCCAGCAAAAATATAAGCAAAACGTGTTTTGATCACGATCGCCCTTCACGTGAAAGGCCACCCCGTGTGCTTGTTGACAAACTGCTGGTGACGTTACTCCTGTTCCGGCTACAGTCTATCACGACCTGAAATGACGTGCGTCAACTTGTTGCCAGGAAGGAACAGAACACGGAACTGTGCAGTTCCGATTGCCTCCTCGACATAACAGCTTCATGGTGGTTCATTTTGATTATCACCCATGTAGACTGCTCCCTGCCTTTTTCCCTGGGAGCGACACGTCCATTTGTTGGGATTGATTACAGAGGGCGGTTTTTTACCGAATGGTCAGGGCGTGCTGTGCTCAAAGTCAAAGAGGGCCTGCCTGGGGGAGGGGGGGGTTCCCGACAACGCTCTACGCTGAATTCGGAATGCTCTCGAGTACGCTTTACGATAAATTCCAAGTGGCTACAACGCTTTACGTAGAATTAAAACGCAAAACGCAAAATGCGCCGATTACGCTCTACGTTGAATTAGAGCGGTCCGTGTACGCTCTACGTAGAATTAGAACGGCCGATTACGCTATACAGAAAAGGGCATGCGGGCCCCCCTCAAAAGGGTGAAGGTCGATAGGGCAACAGTACCCCCCCCCCCTCCTTAGAAAAGTAATCAATTATACCGTTCCCATGCGCATGTGGATTGTTTCCATAAGACCGCTCACAACAGAGAGGCAAATTTATTGAAAGTCAATTGCAAGGTCCTAATCTACACGATAAGAAGTCGACTCTGACCACGTCCCACTTGTGAAGCCGGCCATATCTTTAACTCATATCTGACAGGTCCATTCATCTTACTACGAGTTTCGGACTTAAGAAGTACTTGTACGAAGTGAGTGGGAAGTGTCTGGTGATAGTGTACAGTCACGGGTCGTTGGGAGTTCAACTTCCCCTCAACGACGCCCTTGAAACTCATAAACTTAAAGACGTCTATATGCCATACTTGCTGTATCCGCTGTTCCTGTTCGGCCTACCCACCTGAAAAGACACAGACCACCGTTAATTTATCTAACCTTTAGCTCTACAGCTGTAACGTTATGGAAAACGCTGTGCTATCGTGCCACTTGGTACATGGCGGCTGGGACGTTGAGTGCTTGCGGGTTTTGTTCCTGTATGTGCAGCACCACGCCCACAGTGTGTATTTAAGGGGCCAAGGTTTCAACAGTGCACCTACTTACTACCAACGTCCTGAAGGTCTACTATTGTAGCATTGCTGTGTTGTTTGGACAAGTTACACAAATATGACAACCAGGAATGTATGGAGGATAGACGGCCTCATTGTAACACTCCCGTTCAGGAAGTATTCCTTAGATCAGATGGAATCTCTTCGACCGAAATGGGGATATAGTCTTGAACTTGAAATATAAAATCAGACATTGACCTCTCATATATAACGTTATATATATACACAGCACGAAACGGTACCTAATGCACTTAACGTAGATTAAAACGGCAAATGGACAGTATCTGTACAGTGCCATGTGCGCTAGGACATGCTGGATAAGGCACAGTGACTATAAACATGCCTACGTCTGCCCTATCGTCTCCTGCCAACTTCAGGGGGATCATTTGGCAATTGCAAGCTGTGTACACAATCTAAGGAATCTTAATTGGTTTCTGTGCGCAAGAGTTCACTTCTGAACACAGGCAACCATAGAGCAAAACGGCATTCCCACAAGTGTTGAAAACATGCTTACGGGTAACAATTAGTGTGTAAATACTAATCTCCAAGCAGATGTTTGGGTGAAGAAAAAGACAGTGTCAGTACCCATTGGCCAGGCGGTATCCATTAGCCAGCCAACTAATGATACAGTCTGGCCAATGGATACTGCCTGGCCAATTTGAAACTGTCATTTGCGCCACCTAAACATCTGCTTGGAGATTATGTAAATATGAGGGTGTATTTGTCACTACTGGGCGCCCAGAAATCGAAAGGCACGTGGTTTCATGTGGGTCAAGAACCGCTGTGTTTAGATCGATACGACTTCCCTCTTTGACCGGACACATTTCGACTTCAAAGCATGCTTCCGAAGCGAACGTTTACAATGAAAAAGAATTCCGCATTTTCTATATAAAGCTCTCTTGTGTTGACGGTTGTTATGTTTGAGACTTTTTCAACTTTTATTTCAAATACCACATAACAGACAAAAGTCTGAATTGCGTCAGTATTTACAAACCTTTGTGCTCGTTTTATAAAACACAAACTGTGGGCATTTACAGTCTAGAAGTTTTGTTTTGTTTGCTGGAGTAAGTTGAAAATGACAAAGTAGTTCATTCCACAGTAGACTCCGTGACCCGGATACGAGCTTTGGTGGGTTTAGCAGTGAACCAACAACCGAGACTGAAATAGCAGCCTTTGTTGGGAAACTCCAGACCTGCGCGCCTGGGACACAAGTGGCACTATTTTAAGCTGTTATCGATTGCCGCATAACCACACAACAGTCGTCTGTAAATCACACAACAGCCGGCCGCTCTGTGAGAGGACTTGGAAACAAGCCAAGGAGATGACCAGCCGAAAATTAAGTAAACAGTTCTGACCAGTCTATTGGGCTGGGGAAAAGGTAGAATGCTCCGTTATCCCCCGAGACTGTTTGAACTTTTAAAGTTTTAATGATTATTTCGTGAAACGTCCAAGTCTGATAGATAGTTATTGAAAATTAATGTTGTGTTTCCGATTTTAGTGCTGAAAAAATACGGTCTGTGGGTAGGGCATTCTCTCTTCCTAGGGTCGGTCTGGAAACTGGAAATATTTTTGCTATAATATTACTGCCCTCAGGACTCTGGAATAAGGATAAAAAGGTATTGCATCGTAGTGACAATCGTAATTCGGTACGTTATGGACGACGTGTGGTAGAATACCCAATCGTTAAGCGTTTTTATCTCCTTCATACGTAGCAATTAGTCTCCACCAGACTTCTTTTGCAGGCTGAATAAATCGTAGAAATCGGCATAAAAAGGGTATTTAACTGATCAGATAAGATAGCCGCTGGACCCTCTATGGCTGGCTACCTTATCTGGCCAGTTAAATATTTTTATGCCAATTTGTACGATTTATTCAGCCTACAAAAGTAGTCTGGTGGAGACGACGTAGCAATGGCCCGTCTTTATAATCTCCAGGACGATCTTTTTATCTTTTGCTGGCTACAAGACGGTATCTAATTGGCCAGGCAGTTACCACCTTCCACCCGATGAAGGTTTAACTGGCGTAAAAAACGATACCCGTACAAAGATGGGCCTGATAAAGACTCGTCAAAAAGCCGAAGCCTAAAGTTAAAACCTCTGCTTTGAGAGCACGGTCTCTGCTGGAATGGGGACGGATCAGTTCATGAGGTTTCACTTTATTGACTCGCCAAACATCCTCTTTACAATCACCTACCGCAAACCAAAACAGCCCCGGTACAGACATATCTCCGTAATAAATTATACCAACACGTACACAAAGGGATTACCGGCCAGGTGCAGACATTCCCGACTCTCCAGGCAGATTCAACTGTTAGTAGTTTAAACCTTCCCTAATAGTTTTCTTTGCTTGTACGGGTGTTGCGTCATCATGAAGTTCACACACGCGTACGTACGGTCATTAACCTTTGGGCCCCGTTCATGATGCAAATATATGTAAACGGTTTGAATCGTTTTGGCTACAATCCCACTGAAACGGTTTGCAGATCAATATCATACCGTGGACACATTGTCTGGAACAGTCTACCATTATACACACGCACAGCCCCAATTAATTAACTCTCACTCTTAAATTTAAAGTTAAACAGAAATTAGAAATGAAGCAAGTTTAAACTGTAATTTCCAACACAATTACAGTTTAAACTTGTTTCATAATGACTTCTATAAGAAATTAGAAATGACCTAAACGAACGGACACGAACCATATACATGTACCAGCTCTGACTCATAAGTATGTTATATTTACCATATATGTGTAAAAATATATGTGTATATTACTTTGGAAATTTATTTGTGTATTATGTAAACTTAATCTCTTCGCTCGTGACCTCAATGAAAAACGGACTGCAGGAAAAAAGAATGGTTCTGTCAAATCTATTTTACTATCTTGAGAGTTTATCTGTGTTGGTAGTTACATGTTTAGAGTTAAAACGTTTGATCCAACACAAAGAAGTTCTCTCACCTAGAGCTTTCGACCAGTCACTCTGGTCTTCCTCAGTACTCAGTAGACTGACCCAGTGAGGCTCTAGGTGAGAGAAGTTCTTTTAGTTGGATCAAAAGTTTTAACTTTAAACAAATCTTGAAGAAAGTTAAACTGTTCTCCAACTCAACAACGAAATTAACTCACCAGAAATTTCCGACTGAATCGCTCAAGTCTTCATCTCAAGCTGATGAAGACTGAGTGATTCAGTCCGAAATTTCTGGTGACTTAATTTCGTTGTTGAGTTGGAGAACAGTATACTTTTCTTCATGTATTTTACCAACTCAGATGAACTTTCGTGCTAGTTTAAACAAATCTGTTTCGCCTCTCCAGAGACTGCAGGGCGTGCGTCTCCGCTCGGGGGCGCTGCAGAAGCTGTACCTGTACAACCTGTGGAGCGTGAGCTTCGTCAGCCTGTGGACGCCGCAGCTGCGCAGCCTGCACCTGGACGCAGGGCTGGAGAACCTGGAGCACCTGGAGGTTTTCGCGCCAAAACTCAGGAAGCTGCAGGTGGACGGCAGCGGCGAGCTCAGGTTAGGCTTAGGTCACATTTCCAAACCGGGGCCCGGTGTCAAGCCGAATCCATGATCCTGCCAAATCCAGGACTCCGACACTACATGGGGGTTTCCAATATACCTAAGACAAGGGGTGGGAGGGGTTAAGTCGTGATGTGGGAGACTAAACCTAACCTAACCCCAATCGCGTGATCGTAAGTCTAACCCTAACCCTAACCCCAACCCTAACCCTAACCCTAGCCCTAGCCCTAAACACCTGACCTCTCACGTATGTGGCAGCTCAAGATTTGGCTCAACACCGGCCGGGCTGTTTGTATGAACGAAAAGTTAACAACTCATATCAAGAATACACAGAAATAGCGCCCGTGATTATTAATAAAACTTTTCTGTGTTTTGTTCTCTTTTGTATCGTACCTTTCGTTCCCAAAAGCTGCCCGGCCGGGCCCCGTTTTGGAAATGTGATCCCAGCATAAGGCCGGGGTACACGGCTAACAACATGCGCGGGGCACGGCCGGGCGGTTTGTGAGAACGAAAAGTATGTTATTAAAGACACACAAAATGCTTATGACTCATGAGCATAAATTGTGTACATTCTCAATATACACAATACGCAGCGGCGTGCTCAGGTAAGGCAGGGGTACACGGCTACCAACCCGCCCGGGGCCCGGCCTGAGTCACGGCTACCAACCCGCGCGGGGCCCGGCCGGGTAAGGCCGGAGTCACGGCTACCAACCCGCGCGGGGCCCAGCCGGGTTAGGCCAAGGCCCGACCGGACAGTTTTCCCGCGGCACAACTTGTAAATATTATACATGTACAATAAATCTGTAAATACTGTACATAGCGTCTGTCTTCTCTGTGAAAGTGGAAAATTCGCTGCTAATAATCAGCGAGCTAATACTCTGGATCAAGTTTACTTTAAAATTGTCTTTTTTTTCTCTTGTGGCGCCATCCGAGGTAATGGTACATTTAGATATACATTGTGATACACTGTAGTTCACACCATACGATTGCTTGTGATCTCTATGAGTTAATCGTTTATTTGTGACCCTGCAGGACTCTGAGTGTGAAGAGTACCAAACTGTCCAACGTAGAGCTCTACAACTGCGAACTGCTGGACGGGTTGGGCTTCACGCGCTACCTGGGCAGTAACATCACCGTCACGGTCCTGTCCCTAGGCAGCATAGGCATGGAGGCGCTATCACTCGACCAAAACCGCTGCCCGAGCCTGCGAGAACTGCGCCTCCTGGCGGACTTTCGGTGCACTTCACTGCACCTGTCGTGCCCGACCCTGAGAAGGTTGTGTGCGGACTGTGACGTCATGTTGCCCACGTTACAGATTGTCTCGGTGGTGGCGAGGCATGTAGACAGGCTGCACCTGGCCAACGTGCCGGGGCTTCAGAGTCTAACTGTACAGTGCGACCGCGTAGACCTTGTGGAAATCAACACGACGGGAAACGTCAACGTCTGCCTCGAGAACTGCGCCGTGCAGGCGGTGGAAGAGTTGGGGACGCTGAGGCTTCTGGACTGCCAGGTGCAGGCGCTGGTGGTGAGCGCCCCCTTGGTGCGGCAGTTGGTACTGCAGCGGTGCATGGTGACGGACTACAGCCTGTGCATGGCGCTGCGCGGCTGCCCGAACATCCAGCGCCTGCAGCTGCAGAAGTGCAGCTCGCTGACGCGCGTCTCCATCTGCAGGTCGCTGCTGCAGTACCTGCACCTGCTGGACTGCAGGGGCATCCTGCAGGTGGAGCTGACGGACTGTCCCAAGCTGCTGGCCCTGGACATCGGCCAGTGTCCGAACGTTAGACTCTTCGTGCAGGGATCAGAGACAACCCCAAACAAACTACAGTGCTGAGATGGTCT